CCGGCTGAGCGTTAAGACGCATTAGAAACCAGCTTGGTTACGATTTATCAGCCGGAAGAACTGTTGGAATAATTTCTGAGCGTGAAAGAATACAAAAAAAATTACTGTTCCCTACCAGTCGTTTAGATTACCTAATCTGAAGTCAAAGTGACTCAGAAGCAAAACAAAAGCTTGCAGGTAAGAGCACACCACCGAACCCCATCGACTTCCACGGGCGGCATGAGAAGCTGCCTCATCTTATCTCTCAATCCCGTGTCCATACCCAACTTATTAGCAGTTTGAAGAATGATCTGTAATTGATACACATGCATAGACCTCACTGAAATGGATGACATTGATAATTAAAATGGTCTTTTCAGCTGGAAATGCTACCAGTATCGATAGCTGGAGTTGAATTTTCAGAGTAACCAAGACATCAGAGCCTGTAAAACCTTTTCTTTCTGGCACTAACACACTCAAAGATTAAATTAGACTAAATGTTTGTTACAACAAACGGATTTATGTTAGCATTCAGGATTATGCTCGCAGTCAGTGTTTATTATGCTTTTGGTCATATTTATTCTAAAGGTCTCATTTTCCTACTTCCATAATTTTTTGATCAGTTTTGTTTAAACTGGAAGCCTTTTACTTTTCACTTTAGAAATTATTATTTTGTCTTAAAACCTCTAACAGGTTACAGTATCTGGAATGAGTACTGAGGAAAAGCAAACAAGCTAGCATAAATTACTGTCTAATCTACCCCACCTGACTATTTCTGAGGTACCTGTTCCTGCAGTATCGAGGTACTGGATCTCTGAGAGCATGTGATCTTTGATTTTACTTTGGACATCTGATAATACTTTTTAATTAAACGTTTTATTTGATGCCTGTTGTAGCTAACATGCAAATAGCATCATATAAAGAATAAAAGAGAACAGGGGAGAGAAAATGGTGCCTAGATGTAGCATGTTTATTGCAATAAAACATAAAAGAAAATCATCTGTTCCCTGCTGAATTAAAATTATCAGCTTCAAAGTCTGAGTAAGAATTGGTTGGGGGGAAGAAAAAAAATAACTCTTTCAATCTATTAACATTAAACTTGAAATTAAAATGTTTGTCGGAGCAAATTTGAGGTATTCACACAAATAATTCAGAAAACATATGACTTTTTAGCTTGCTTTGCTGTCCAGTTCCCAGCAAATCTGCTCTGTTGCTACCTTTCACTAGGACTTTCAAGACTTCCATAGTGGCTGAGCTGAACCACATTCTATCTTTGCCTTTGTTCTCTTAGAAAAGTGTTTTTAAATTATTTTTTTTATATGGCATGCATTAATTTGAAAGCATAAACGCATGGGAAATGACTGTATTCATAGTTGATTCAATATCTGTTTCTAAAAGGCATGAAGAAGGACGATAGCATTAGAGCACTTCTGCTTCAGTTTGTTGAGGCTTATATGAAAATGTGCATCGACCAATTCATCATATCAATACAGGGCATTTACAGACAACACCTGCAGCTGGCAGAAGCCGAGTGTGCTTCATCCTTCCCCATCCGATAGGAATCACTCGCTCCTGTGTCACAGTCTGCCGCATCTGTTTAGGAGATGAGCACAGATAACGTGGCTCAGCCCTTTCTGCTAGCGAAGGATTCCCCAAAGGCTCAATCACCACCTCCACCACACTTAAACCCAATGTACTCTGAAGTCCCGCTGTTCTAGAGCCATCAAGTACAGCATCCCGATACTATGACTACTGAGTAATCTTTTCAAAAGGTCTTTGGGAAAATTTCCACTATATTCCCATTTGCTGCTCTATATTGTTTCTTTCATTTGCACTCATCACCCTAATCTGAGTACATTTTAATAGCACACATCTGTTCGACCGTTTCTTCTCCGGCATCTTCCCCGAGGGGGATGCTTACACGGTGCAGTGATTTGTAAGGTTTCTTTTGCCTTTGATGGACTCCAACCAAAAGCTCAGCACCGTGAGCTCTCTGGCAGCCCTTCAGGAGCAGCCTCGTGGTACCTGCTGCCTGGAGGAGGGCAGGGAATGGCATCTCACTCTTGTTACAGGTCTGCCTTTTTCTTCAGCTTTTCCTCCAGCAACCAAAAAGCTCGTAAGAGCCCAGCCCATCTGGACGAAGCAGCCGGGGCAGTGCTGGTGAGGTGCTGCCAGGCCCTGGAGCTGCTGCAGCCCCAGTTTGGAGCCCTGCCAAGGGCACAGCGCTGCTCTGCTCCCATGTCCTGCTCAGCGAGAGCAGCCAGCATCCACACCAGGGCATCTGGCTGAAGGACAAACGATAAAACCCTATAGAAAAGGCAGGAAAGCAAAGATCTGGTTTTCTCCTTCCTCGCATTTCCTAAGGTATCTGTGGTTTAACCTTTTGGTTTTCATTGCTCAGGAAAGTCCTTAAGCCTATTTCACAGCAGGCTGTAAGGATGAGAGCTCGTTCATCAAGAGCAAAACCTCAGATGCATGCAAATTTCATGACAAAGTGCTGAGGTACAAAGAAGAAAAATAATTTTTCCCATCCCAGAAATCATTTCAAAATATCCAAAGTTTTCCCAAAGGCAGCAAGATGCACTTAGAAGTGGGTTCTGTTCATTGCTTTTGGTTTGTTTGTTTGCTTTGTTTTTACAGAAGCACAGGAAAAGGAAAAGAGCACTCCAATAACACCCAGACTTAGGGCTCTCCGGGAGCATGAAGATTTTGGGGGTTAAATTCTTCTTCTCAGACAGGCACTCAGGGTTGGGACACACTCCCTCTCAGTTCTAGCCTGAAAACAAACTTTTTATTACAAAAGTTTCACTGAAGCTGGCATGTTCCCACCAAATGCTTCAGTGGTGAGAAATAAAGAGTTCCCGAGTGTAAAGCACTGCCAAAAAAGTCCCGATCATTTCTAGCCAGTGAGCAAGCAAATGTCTTACTTTACATCGGGAGAGAGGGGTCTCTGTGTCCCAGCGGTGCCGTAAGCACATGCCTCAGCTTCCCCCAGCTATTTGCTTCTGCCTCCACTCAGTTAGGTGCCGAAAATAATGGGGGGTCATTTCCAAACATATTTGCAGTTTGTCTTGTAAATGTTTATAGAAAAAGCATGAATAAAGGACACAGAAAGATACCGTCACCTTTAGTCTATCCTGTCACAGTGATTCCTATTTTTTTCTCACATACATGTGTGTGTGTGTATACACCTACACACCCGCTCATGATGTGTGAAGAGATTTTAGAAATAAATCTCTCCCAAATATTTACTCTTCAAACCTCCATGGCTTTTTAAAAGAGAGGTGGGATCCAGGGTAGGGCGCAAAGATCACTTCCGATACCCTCCTTCAAAAACAGCTTCTACAAATGTTATCCAAAGTGGATGTATAGGCAAAAATAAAATTTTCTTACAGAAGCAGGGGGAGAAAGATTGAAATTTAGGATCTGCAGAGACGATGATTCTCCTGCACATAACAAGCCTTCACCTGTGGCACTAAGCCCTTGCCTCTTGCTCACGTATTGGACTGTAAAAGAGAAGCTGCCTGGAATTGAGTGCAAGGTGATAACTTTGTTAAAGCTCAAAGTCTTTCTGAAGGAGAAATCCTGAAAAGTTTGGACCTTTTAGCACGAGTGTAGTCATGAATCTGACGGAAGTTTGGTGGCCACCAAAGCAAAGGACAATGTGAGCCCCGACATCAGCTGAGCTCGTTTTAAACCACTGCAGCTAGATATTTTGGGGAGGGTATTATTTCCTTGTCCAAACTTCAAGAAGTGGCCATTTGAGGAGCTAAGGGTGCTGAGCCAGCACTTCCAGAGCCCACCGCTGCGATCGATGGCCAGTGGTGAATGCTGGGTGCAGTTGGGGACTTTATATTAGCATCCTCATGCTAAGTTCACGCATGCTACTCCTTATTAGATTCAACCCACAAAAATAGCAGTGCTCTGCCACTGGAACACACTACCCAACGCATCCTAACCCTGTCTTTTCCCAAATGTCTTTGTTTCCCTAAACAGGCATCACTGCACCTGCCGACGATACCCCCGACAAAGCAGGTACCAGCGGGGAAAACAGCCCCATGCCAGAGAGAGGAGAGCACCTCCTCTGCCTGCTCCCTGAGAAAACAAGAGCAAAAGAAGTCCCCCTTTCTTCTAGAAGAGCTCGTGTGTCCAACACAAACTTGCAAGGACTCTGTCCCTTCATATGGGTTTTAATTAATTCTCTCTTAATTCTCAGACAGCAGTCTGAGAAGCGGCAGCATTATATATATATGTCCTCCTTATGTTTCACTGTTTACATTGGGCTATTCTCTGGCTATTTCCCAACCTTATTCATTCACCCTGGAGATCAATTTGTACACCAAAATAAAGTATGATCTTATCTTTGCGCCGCACAGAAAAGCGAAACAAAATTTCTCACGGGAGGCAGGGGTTAAGGCACGGGACTGGGTGTCGGAGAAGTGCTGTTCTATTCTTGGCTCTACCACTCACTTGCTGTGGGAGCTTGTGGAGCAAGATATAGAGCAGGAATGGAGACCTCAGCCAATAAATTCCTCCCCTGCAACTTTTCCTCTTTCATTATGCATGAGAGTGAGCATTTCCAGCGTACGAGCATAGATCTGAAAGCTGAGGAAACGCCACTCGACCGAAATACAGAACCAGCAGAAAAAGAAAATGAGTGGAAAACATCAATTACAAAGCTCTGAAGTACTTAAAGAGGATGTCTATTCACACAGCAAGAACAGTGGGCCAGATCCAGCCCTGGGCTCAGCAGGCACACCTCCACGAGCTGCCCTGGGCTCTCTGTGCCTGCTCCCAGTGCCATGGGCAGGTTCCCTGCAACAGCAAACAGCAAAACCCCAGAGAAGGTCTTCGGCCTGAGAGGTTCTGGTTTGTTTAGAAAAAAAAAAAAAAAAAAGAAAAAGAAAAAAAAAAGGAACCTATGCTTTGTTTTTTAAATAAGCGATCTGGCTTTTAGAAAGTAAAAAATAGAATTTATTAGGGCAACTTTGATTCAAAAGCCACGGTTCAGACCGTATCTAGATCCGGAGCAGCTAACAAACTGCCTAAAGTAAGGACAAACTCTCAGCTGCCTCCCGCTGGAAGCAGCATTGCCTTGTGCTCTAGGAGGAACAGACCAGACAGTAATTGCTCTTTGGGTAACAGCTCTGGCGGGATGCACAAAGCTGCAGCAACTCTTACAGGTTTGGGGAATTAAAGAACAATTAAGCACATGGGTCCTCATTTAGGCACGGCAGGGGTAGGCTCTTACACCGCTATGCCAGCTGATGATGGAAGAGTAAGATCTTTGCAGCTGTGGTGTTCTGTGTGTAAAACGTATTGTCACAAAACTGATTTATCTTGGCCTTAATTATTTTCAATCGTTTTGCCCCTTACTCAGATGATCTGCACAGCATCCCACTTTGAGGCACGCTCTCGATGGTCAGTGCAGCTTCAGCCCGTTTGCTGACAGCTCTGCAGCCTGCTCCTGGACCAGGTAGGATGAGAGAAGCAACACACTAACCCTGGTCTACACTATTCTTCAATGTCAACCTTTTTCCAAAATTGCATATGTGATATATGGGATTAGCATGTGCCTTGTTTTAAAACAAACTGGCCCAGCCAGCTGCTTGGGAAGAAGAACTGGCTTCCTGATTCATAGGAACAATTCTTCCCATTTCATGCTTCTCATAATTTTCTATATTCTACTTGCAGAAATATTAGGCGACCAGAGTCTTTAATTGTTAACCTAAGTGCAATGCATGCCTGGTATATAACAATTATTTCTTAATAAAGTATAATTATTAAAAAAAAAAAAATCAAGACAGTCTCAGCCTGTGCAACTGAAACTGTTAATTTACCTAAGGGATTATTTCAACATTTATGTATATTAAGCATTATATAAAACCTAGGATTTCTTGGGACATTATCAACAAAGGCAAGGTTTTTTCAAACCCACTTTTTACTGATTGCATTATCAAATACAATTTTATTTGCTTGAATCTTCTGGGAAGGATATGATTTTAATAATGCATAAAAGGCTCGCCTCGTAGTTGGCTGTTGGCTTTTACTTGATACTTAATGTAATCTGTAATTACTCTAGCAGCTCCTGTGCTGGCTGGTGTGTTAAGGTCGCTGGAAAGCTGTGCTGTGTTGTACTTGGTGTACACGAACATCCTTCTGGTGATTGATGGCTACACCCTACGGAAATGTTTTAATTCTGTCCTTGAAGCGTGCCTTCAGGAACACTGTCAGTACGTATTCTTCGTCGAGCAGCACACAGCACTTGGGAATCCGCAGCAGCCCGAGGTCCCTGGCTTCTGCCCATGGGCATTCAATAACCTCTCCTCTGGGCTTTGAATTCAGTCCCCAAGCCTTCAACCAAGGGACTTATCTACCTCTGATTTACTAGAAGGGGCTACTTTAAAAGGCATACTTAGGACACGAAGATTCCCACAAAAAAGCAGCATCAGCTGGTAAATCACAAACCCAACTATCAGATCCCAAGAAATAATGTGTGTCCTCCTCAGTCAGGTTGCTCACAATTACTCCAAGCCACAGCCACGTCCAGCATCTTGCCTTCACTTTGATGTTGTTTGCTGCAGTAATCTGTCCAGAATCCAGTCAATCTGAACAGATGTATAGGAAAATAGCAAAGGCTACTGTCCTTTATCGTTTATGTTTCACTTTGCACAATTATCAAGGAAAATACTTGAATACTAAAAAACTTTTGCAGAACTTGGCTTCAGGAGGGCAGAATTCCACCCTTTTATGTATTGTTCCCGTTTGCAATAACTCCTCTTTAAACCATATTCCTGAGCTATCTGAAGCCTCTGGCCAGAACCTGCAGTTGAGAGGCACAGTTAAAATGCTTCGAGCTGGCTGATATTACAAGACTAGACCCTACTTTAAAGACGTTTAATGTTACCACACGGCAGCCAAGCCCTCCAACATGGCAGGTTTGCAAGCCAGCAAGTCACCTGCAGCTTCTCATGTCATCTGCTCCAGTGACACCAGCGAGATAAACTGGAAAATAGGAACAAAGCACTGGAAATATTCCAAAGCTGCCGTATCCCAGAGGTTATTTAACTTGGACTTCACACTCCTAAGATTTCCATGAAATAGACTGAGAACTGAAACAGTAGCCGGTATTAAGCACAGAATCAGTAATTTAACTGTTACTCCACATTTTTTTTACAATCCTCACTGGATGTAAACCAGCTTTTTGTCCTGGTGATACAACGTTGCTACCTGAAAAATGGCATTCTCAAGGGGGGGAAATCGGTATAGAAAATCCTGTGGTGAATGAAAAAACAACTTGGCAGAAAAAAAAGGATAATTTTGAAAAGCTTATTAATGGGTAGGGTTTTTTGTTTGTTTGTTTTTCTGTACTTCATAACAATTTCTGCACTGGATACCATTACCTTTGGATTCTGTGGGTTTTCCAGGAAAATGATTCACTGAAAGTTGTGTGTGCTTTCAACAAGGAAAATCAAGAGCCAAACTCCACTTGTCATTTACCAGTATTTGTTATTCATTTTTGATGGTTTCAGATTCATGGTTTCTACTCCCTCTGAAAGTAATTAGAACAGTTATTTATAAGTAATAGGAAAATAAATTTGTAAAATCCTTTATCAGTATATTTCAATGTTAAAAACAACAATAAAGAATTAACTCCTCCTCCAATAAAACAAACAAAAGGTTTTCATTTTAAAGATTTTTTTTTCAGTGTAGAACTTCATGTTTTGGCTTGTTGGTTACCTGTTTTCTCAGTGAAATTCATTCATTTCACGTTCACTAACTGACCTGCTCTTCTGTGGAGTTGGGTGTCTTCTTCTCCAGCTCTAGCCAAGAGCAACTAGGTTTTTTTCTTGTATCTCTCAGCTCACATTGCCAATGATGTAGATACTTCTAGGGACCAGACACACATAAATTGCAGACAAGGCAAGAGTATTTGTTATAGTATCAATTCATCTTAACGCTTATTGCAAGTTTGAATGCCGCAAGACCAGCACAAATGGAAACTAAATATATTCCCATTCAGGTCTAGTGAAAGATCAGGGAGCTTTTAAACATTGCTCTCTGTAGCTGCTAAGTGACTGCCACACACAAACTGTCTTTGCATGAGTTTTGTGATCATCTCCACTTAAAATTAATTTTGTTGTACTCGTCATTGATGTACTGCATTATTCTTGTCACCAAAAATGCACAAAGAGGCTGAGTAACAAAACACTGATATTTCTAGATCCTAGGTGGGTGTCTGCGGGTTCATTTTTTTTTTTTTTTCCTGCAAAAAAAAATCACCATACAAAAAAAAAAATCTACATTAATACAGAAGGAAACTGTTGTTCAGTACAGCAGTGAGAACCCCAGCTACCTGCAAGGCCCTACTGCAATCACCGATAATTTGCTGGGAGCAGAATCAAAGAACTGGAGCATGCAACTTCAACACTATAAGAAAATAAAAATTAAAATTAAAAATCGGCCAGGATAAACAGAGAAAGCATGAAAACAGTGGTTTTCTGGCACCCCCTGTAAAACAAAGAGTTAAATTAATACATGAAAAGATCCTATCAGCTCTGACTCCTCTGAGTTATTAATTGAACACCTTCTTGGAAACAGGTAGATAAAGACGTGTACCTTGGGGAACGAGATAAGAGTGAAAGGAAAGGGAGAGAAATTAGCAGAGTTTTGCCAGTTCACTCCCTTAATTGTCAGGCTAGGCTTGTTCAAAGCTGCTCAGAGAAGCATAATGCGAAGCGGTAACTAAAGTGCAGGCTGATGATGCAGCAGATAAAAACTTCAGGATTATACTCAAACATACTTATCTTTAGACACGTAAGAGGCTGTAAAGCCAGCTGAACGATATAAAGCTGTTCTACAACAAGACAAATGTATACTCCATGTGTTATAAGCAGTTCAAGCTGCTTCCTGTGATGAAAAACATGGACTGTACGGTAGACGTGGTGTAGCTAAGTACAATAGATCCCATGATACAGTTGTTTAAAGGAATATTAGAGTGATGAAAGAAGTGATGGAATTCCTCGCTTTAGGAGGCTCAGAGGCTGAAACGGAGAGAAAAGGTTTAAGTGTGCGGGCTGGGTAAATATTTCTGGTCCTGGAAGGCTGCAGCACAGGCTTTATACAGGAATATACTGACCTGGAAGGGGACAGCGGTGGGGACAGTGCTGGGCAGCACTTCTCACCCACAGACCTTCGTAGGTGGAGGATCCGCCAAGGAAAAGTGCTCAGCAGGGCACATCTGGATCCTGCAGCAGACTGGGACCAAATCCCCTTCATTTCAGACCATTTCTGCCCTTTCTGCCCTATTTTGTCCCCCTCAGAGTTCAGTGAAGCATCCACATGCACGATTCACATAACACCAACACAAGAAAAATAAAAATAATAATACAAAAAACTTTATTGGAATACTAATTGCTGCTCTCAAATATTTGCTCCCAAATTATCATAGCTGCCAATATTCCATCGTTAATGTACGTCTGATTATCTTTCCAACAAAATACAGCAAAGTGCTGCCTTTAAACTTGTTATCATGGCAAAACAGAACGCGATGATAATGCACCAGAAATTTGGTTTGCAGCTGTGAAATTCTCCAAAGTCTTGTGACTGGGTTACAACTTTGTAACAGGCGATTACCTTCCTCCCTGCCACACCTCCCACATTTGTGTTTGGGAAACAAAGTATACATCTCACAAAAGCAAACTGCAAATCTGTTTAAATAAGTGAGAAATCGGGAGGGCAAATGTGGCAAACTAGAAAGGCTACCATTTGCACCTCCAGTGTCTAATTATGCAATGCTTTTGTAGAGGTAAAGATAAAATTGACGAACTGCAAATGCTGATCTCTGACACTATTTTCGAGGTCAAGGTTTCAAACTAATTTTTCAAGGTGAATCCTGAAGTTTATAAACAGGAAAAGAAAATCTTTAATTTGAGAAAAATGTGTTTTGATTAGTTTCTAAGACAAACATGAACTGAAAACTGCTACTAATTTGGTCAGGCTTGAAAAGTAATAATAAAATAATAACAATAATAAGTTAAATAGCATCATTCATGACCTGAGCTTTGCTAAAATGTACATCACAAAATGCATTTTTAATGCCTTCTTACATGGGGATGAGAATTCATTACAGTGCATTGCTATGAAGCTTAAATAACGTCTTTCAACATTTTTGCTTTGAAGTGGATTCTATAACAATTTTTTTTAAATTGCAAAGGTTGTTATTTAACAACGGTTTACCTGTTCTTGAAAAAAAATAAGGTTTTTATAAATAGTTTCTCTTAAAATCCGTAGCCAAGCATGATCCTGCTTACACATAAATTCTGCAATGCATTGAGTTCTGCTGCCGTGTTTTACAAATGAATAGCTATTGCCATCTACTGTTGGAAAAACCAGCAGCAGCAGCAGGAGCCTATCCCACAGACCGCCTTCGGAGCACAGACAAAATGTAGAAAACAGACTTGATCAAGCCATAGGAGAGCAGCTTCCTCCATTCAAAACTGAACTACAACATTCAATTGAACAAAAGAGAGGCAGAAAAGAAGTCGCTTACTCCTAAACCGCTCTGATTTTACGTCTGGTATACCTGGGATCCAGGTATAAAAATAAATGCACGATTTAATAAATCCAGACTTCAACAACTGTTCTTTTTGAACAGGTCAGTTTCTAAAACTCCCCCAATTTCTGTGGCTAGAGTTGAATCACACAAAGTAAAAGATTACGAAATAAAGCTCAATTTTATGATACTGTTAGACCCAAGCTACTGTCATGCCTCTGTGAGCTGAGAATGACAACTGCAGAAGGCAAAAGTCGCCCCCACCTTCCCAGTATGTGCAAGGGCCATGTACCACTGAGCTCCTGCTTGCAGACAGACCTGGTCTGACCCATCACACAGGTCAAAGCCACCCTGCACAGGGCCAAACCCAGATAATACCCAGAGCTCTCTGAAGTTCCTCTGTCATTTTCTCCAAGCAGCTTTTGGATAAAACAACTCGCGGCTCTGCTCTGTCAAGCTGAACGTGAGCAGTGCAAAGGAAAGCACAGAAATTCACTATGTGCTTAAGCAACCTTTAGTCCGTATTTTTAAGATTAGATTGCATGACTTCACGTTGCCATTAGGTTTCTTAAACACGGCTGAGATGCATTCTTTTTGCCATTCTTTCTGCTGATAAATACCCTTAGATACGACTCCCAACACCTTTTGAACGTGCCCCTTGTTGAGGCACAACATTAGGGTAGGTTCTATTAATGTTTGCCAGACCTGTCAGAGGTTAAACAGCCTTTGAATTAAACCATTCTTTACTCTTTGATAATTATTATTTCTTCTTAAGACACTTTTTGTTGTCTCATAAGCAAGGTCAGCGTGAACTGTTTTGTTAGACCGAGTGCTGCAGTTCAATGTTAACTCCACTCGCACTGCTCCTACAACGCCTGCACGTCCTGGCATCCTTGCCCACAGCTTTTGGAAATACTTAGCAGAATTTTAAATAACTGAAAAGAAACCCAGCTTTTCTGTTGTTTATTTGAAGAGCACAGCAAAGTGTATTCGGGGTTTGCACACAAAGACACACGGGGATGTGAATCTATACCAATTTAGTGAAGTTCACGTATCTTCGCATGTGAACCTTGTGAACAGATTTTGACCTTTCTTATTTTGGTTTGTTGTGTACCGGCAAATCACGTACATCCCAATCATGAATGGCTCCAAATTAACACAAGAAAGCTAAAACACAAATTGGAAACAGCTTAGTGAAACCAGCGTGAGATGAAATACTGCTGCTGTCGTACACAGTGAGCTCTTTGGAGTGGAAGAAAGTGTTGCTGTGATGCCAGGAGGACACTGCTGCTGGAGGGGGGGCTGCAGGCAGAGCCCGGCTTGGAGCACAGCTCAGGACCCCCCATGCCACCGAGTGCCATGAGCAGAATAACCCACTCCCATGCGGGAGGTAAGCTCACCCACCCAACATCCCCAAACCTATCCACTCCTGAAACTCCGTCACAAGAGGGCTCTTTGCACAAGTGCTGCAATGTCACACCTGCTGCTACCCCCGGATCCCACAAAACAAGCTTCCTAAAGGATTTAACCCACATGGTGCTGTTTCTTTATTTAACATTCTCAACAGAAAGAAAAAAAAAAATCCCTCAGTCTCAAAGGGCTAAAAAGCCAAAATTAAACAAAAAACTCTAGGATATTTAGAAAAAGCATGCCACACTAGAAATACAGCCATGCAATGGGAACTCACTTTTTACTAGAGCATGGTGAGGCCATTTCTTAGTGCTAGCATGACAGAAGTTGTGTTATCACCTTTGGCCAAAGCACTTTCCATGCACCCAAACCAGGTGTCACACTGATCTGAAACAGTGAAAACATCTGTCTCAAGCAGATGTGAGCAAGGCGTCCTTCAAAGTTCACCACCTAAACAATCCTTAGAGGACCTCCTAACTTCTTGGCGTTAATTTCCAGGCAGCTGATACTCGACAGTAAGTCAGCCAGGACACACAACCCTAGTTCCCAAGTCATCTGAGTGGCAGCCTAGAGAATGAACCTCAGAGGGGTGCGTTGATAATTTCCTTGGCCACACGTACTCCTCCCAGATGTCATCACCTCTCTGTACTACTTTGTGCCACACAGCTAGCGGTGGTAAACTACTCAGTGCACGCAAGCTTCAATCTAGCAAATACATTTAAAACAAAAACAAACAAACAAAACCCCAAAGAAGCAGGTATATTAACAAGAGCACTCATGCTCTGCAGGGAAGAAAATCCGCCTGATGCCAAGCGATTGATGCTGACCTGCTTCCCAGGCTGCTGACTCTCACCGGCAGCTGCTTCTCCCACTTAAGAGGAGAGCCATCAGCCGCAATTCCTTTGATATGCAATGGCGGGTATCACTTGCAAATGGCTTTAAACTACTCTGGGAAAAAAAAAAATGCTGAGATTTTTTTGTTACAATTCCTAAAAAGTGGCTGTTTCCCGTTTCTGGGGTGTTTCAGTGATCAGCAGGCACAGGAAGGAGGCTGCAGAATACCCTTCCGAAACAGCAGATTCAGCTACGTTTGTGCAAAGTCTTCCCTGCTATAATAAACAGACAGAAATAAAAGTAGACCAAGTTCTCCATTTCTAAATGTTTATTCTCTGGTACATGAATAAGCTGAACATAACTACACGTTTTCATGCATACACGAAGTTGTAGTTTAAGCTTATCACCACTTTCAGAAGCAACATGGAAAAAAAGAGAAAAAAAAAAAAAAAAAAAAAAAAAAAAAAAAAAAACAAACCACGGTGAATGCCACGAGAGATACATTCAATGAAACAATGTTTTGTCCCGATACTTGTGTGGCAAGGAAAGCTTCATTTGAAAAAAACAAGCATTAAGCACATGAAGTATCTTGGCTTTGCAATTACAAGTCTGACAAAGTATTTCGTTGCTACTGAAACCTGTTGCTCAGAAACACTGAAAAAGCGTTACTTTGAAACTAGAGGCGTGTTACCAAACCCTGGCACAGCCAGGTTAGGCTTTTTAAGAGATTCGGTTCCTGCTAACAGGAAGGAGCTCTACAGCTTCAGGCAGGTCATTTTGGACTCTCGCATTCCCACTCATTCTGGCCACAGGTTTCTTTCAAACGCTCTTACAAAAATTAAATACCCACGTTCACCAATGCTCTGCACAAAGAAAGAAGAAAAGACCACAAGATGGCAGTGGTCAAACACACAGGAAAGCGTCGGATGGGCGATAAAAAATGAGCATCGAGCCGTGTTCAACCCAAGTTTCCAGGGCCACGCCAATGTCCCGCCGAGGTGCGATCTGCGGCGAGCAGCGCACGCTTGGCTCCCATCACACGTGACGTGCACGTGGGTTTGTGTTTCTGGCGAGTCTCCTGTAAGAGGTTGGTCCTGGCTGGAGAAATCCTTCCTCGGGCGGTGATTTCGGCCTTGGAGATACGTTCGGAGCCTGTCGGTCGGGGTGAGCGCGGTGAGCCCAGATCTTCGCGCCACGCAGCTCAGTGCGCGGCAGCATCCTGGGCCTGGAGGGGAGGCGACTCCAGACAAGCCCGGACGCTTTCTCCTGCGGATCCGTCGTCATTCGCCTCTCCACACCTTCACCAAATATTTACTGCCAGCTGCCCGTCCTTGGATGCTCGCACATTCCTCAAGCCCCCATCAAGCCCCTCAAGTCCGCATCAAGTCCACCTCACCGCCAGGCCCTCCGTGACGAGATCAGCCGCGCCTCCAGCCTCCCTGCTGCCCATTTCCCAGTCAGGGACAGCGAGAGGAGACCCCTCGGTGCCCCCCCATCCCCTCAGCCCCCTGCCCACCCCGTGGTGGTGGTGGCGGGGGGACGCCTCAGAGCCCTCAGTGGTGTTGGAGCGTGGCCGGCTGTGCACCCCACGGCGGAGGGGTTGCAGGAAAGCCGCCACCGTTCCCTTTTTGTTCTGCTGGGGTCATCCCGGCGGCTGGGGGTGGGGACCCCCCGGCCCTGCGCCCCCCCTGTGCCGCCGCCCGGGCTGACAGAGGCGAGCTCTTCGCGGCGGCAGGGGCCATGGCGAGGCCGGCCGACCGCGGCCGGAGGGAGGGGGGACAGCGGGGGGGGGCCCCCGGCAGCCGGGATCCCCAGAACTGACGGGCGTTGAGTCGAGCCCCCGCTGACGTTTTTTTTTTTTTATTAATTATTATTATTATTGGTTTATTTCGTTTTTATTTCTTTATTTTCTTTTTTCTTTTTTTTTTTCTTCCTCTTCTTTATTTTTCTTCCGGCCGGGAGCGATCGCAGACCACCCGCCCCGCCCCCTCACAGCCTCCCGCCCCCCTTCCCACCCTCCATCCATCCATCCATCCCTCCCTCCCTGTCCCCTTCCTTCCCTTCCCTGTCTGCTCCCCTCGCCCGCTGAAAGCCAGCGACCAAAACAGCGGGCGGGCGCAGGGAGCGGCAGCAGCCGCCATTAGGGTTAGATCCGCGCGGGCCTCCCACCCGCCACGCGGCCCGCCCGCAGCCCCCCGCGTGCGAGCTTTTATACCCCCGGCCGCCGCGCCCCCATTGGTCGAGGCGGCACCCTCCTCCTCCGCCATTGGGCGAGAGGGGGGCAGGGGGCGGGGCCAGGAGAGCGGCGGGAGTTTGGAAGGCTCGGGTTAGCCGCGCGCCGGCTGCACCACGTGCTCCGCGGCGCGCGCCGGGCTGGGGACCCCCCCCTCCCTCCCTCCCTCCCTCCCCCCCCTTCCCCCGACCCTAATGGGGTCTGGGCTTGGGGCCGGGACCTGGGGTTAGGACCTGGGGTTGGGGGTTAAGAACTGGGAGCTGGGGTCTAGAGGGCAAATACCTGGTGGTTGGGGTGTTTAGGGTTTGGGGTCTAAAAGGCTTAGTGCTGGGGTCTAGGGGTTTGGGGTTGTGGGTTTGGTATCTAGGGTTCGGGGTTTATGGGTTTGGGGTTTAGGGCTCGGGGTCGGTACCTGGTGGCTGGGTCCGAGCTCCAGGAGGTGGAGTCAGGAAGCTGGGAAACAGGGGGTGGGAGCTGGGGTCTGGGGGCGGAGACCTGGGGGCTCGGGATTGGGGGTTAGAATTTGGGGGCTGGGGCTGGGGCTGGGCTCAGGGGCTGAAATCTGGGCCTGTAACCACCCCAGGAGGTGGATTTGGCGCTGTAGGGAAAAGTGGTTTGAAATGGCACTTTGGCGTGAAACATTAACCCAAGGTGCGGCGTTCTATTTACTTACACATACAGGCTGAAATATATCGCAAATGGATCGGGTGATTTTTGAAAATCGAGATCTCAAAGTTTCTCTGTCAGGTGAACGCTGCGATTGGTGGTGGTAGGACCCTTTCTCAGCCAGCAACGAAAATTTTCGACGTGGTTCAAATAAAAACCCAAAAGGTGGCGGGTCCAGCAGGCGTAAATCTCAGGGCTGTGTGTGGTGGTGGCGGTCTGTGTCCCCAATTCACTGCCTGAAGGAGAGGGGGAAAAGATGCTCCGTCAGCCTGCACGCTCCAAAAAGTTACCCGCTTTTGCCTGAAACCGTACCAGACTGCACAGGGCCTTTTCCCACGTGAGAAGTGTTATAACGAAAGGCACCACAAACCCGCGGCACTGCCGTTAGGAGCACAAACAACCTGTTTGTTCCCACAGCCCCGCTGAGGCTGCCTGTGGCAGGTGGGGCAGCGGGCAGTCACCGTCCCTGGGGGTGGTGCTTGGGGGGGACACGGCTCAGTGGGTGATGGTGGTAGGGGGTGGTTGGACCAGGTGATTTTAGGGCTTTTCAACCCTAATGATATTGGGATTCTGGGGGGGGAGGCCGCAGCCTGCTGTGAGGTGAGAGCCATGAGGGGGATGGCCGCAGGATGCGTTCTTGAGCGGGGTTTCCGTAGTGTAGTGGTTATCACGTTCGCCTAACACGCGAAAGGTCCCCAGTTCGAAACCGGGCGGAAACACCGGCGATGGCTCGCCTTTTTTTTTTTTTTTTATTTCCCCTATATATCTCTCAACGTCGTGCTAGAAAGCAATTGAGGTCCGCCAGCGCTGCTGAGCCGGAGCCACGAATTGCTTTGAACTGCAAGCACCAACACGGAGACATGTCAGAGCCTTCAGTCCCAGCGGGACTACATCCCCCAGCATGCACCGCTCCCTAGCACCCTACACCCCAGCACTACCGCGCCGCGGTGCATCACGGGAGTTGTAGTCCTCTCCTCCCCGACCCTCTCGGCGGTCGTTCCGCGGCCCGTCCCGCCCCGTTCCCCTCCGGGCGGTGCCCGCCGGGTCCCCGCTCCCCCCGCAGCCTCCCCGTGCCCTTCTCCGGTCTCCGGCGGTCCCTGGAGCACCGGAAGTGGCGTGCGGGAAGCGGCGGCGGCACAACATGGCGGCCTGAGGCGGAGGCGCCGCCGCTTCCTCCCGCTCGTCCCCGCCGCAGGTGCGGGAGGCGCCGCCGCCTCAGGGCCGGGCCCGGGGGGGAGCGGCAGAGGCGGGCCCGGCCCGGCCCGGAGGGACCCGGGGGACACCGGGGAAGGGCTGAGGAGGGGCCCGGCCCCCGGAGGTTGCGGCCCGGCCGCTCCCCGTTGTCCCCCGGTGCTCCCCGGGTCCAGCCCCGGCGGCCGGGAGCTCCCCGCGGCTCTGAGGAGAGCCCCGTGAGGGAGGCGGCCGCGGAGGGGGGGGGGGGGGTCAGAGCTGGGGTGTCTGTCAGCATTAACTTTATTTTGAGGGAAGGGGGGGGGGGAAAAAGTGAAATCCGGTGTGTAACGGGGCTGCTTCGCTTTCCCAGGACGGAGGAGAGGCCGCTGGCAGGATGCAGTACGCCCATCACTGCGAGCACCTGCTGGAGAGGCTGAACAAGCAGCGCGAAGCCGGCTTCCTCTGCGACTGCACCGTGGTCATCGGCGAGTTCCAGTTCAAGGCGCACCGAAATGTGCTGGCTTCCTTCAGCGAGTACTTCGGGGCCTTCTACCGGGACGCCTCGGACAACAACGTCGTCTTGGATCAGACGCAAGTCAAGGCTGACGGGTTCCAAAAGCTCCTGGAATTTATTTACACGGGGAACTTGAACCTTGACAGGTAACGCGTGCGGATAGAAAATAGGGAAACAAACCGTGTTGAGGCAGTGCTGGGTTTTTTGTTTGTTGTAACACATCTGGGAGGAGCACAGTAGTGGATGTGATGCATACAAACCGTTGAAGATCTTCTGTTTGCATGCTTCAGGGTAGCACATGACATGCACGTCCCAAAACAAAAGTATGTTGTCAGATATTTTGCTGATAGGTGCAGTTTCTTGAGTCTTTCTGTCAGGATCAGGAGGGATTAAAAATCCTGTGTGGTTACTGGGAGAGGGAGGGATAACTCCATTCTTCCCGAAGTTGGATTGTAAGAGCCCTTTTTCCAGTCAACACACAGAAACTACACTTGTTTTCCCCCTCGTGGAGGTGTTTTTGTGCATGTTGTGTTACTTTGTGTACAGGGAGGGTTCTTCGCAGTGCTGCTCTCTCAGGGAAAAGAAAGAGGCGTGGCTCATTCAGCTGTGACTACTCAGAGGCACTTAGCCCAGAAGTGTAACTCCTGTTGCAATGGCTGGTGTCAAATGCATCCAAAAAAAAAAACTTTGTTGCTGCCGATGTCTGGAAACTCAGACTGAGAATTTTAAAAGCCTGGGCACAGGCTATCCTTTTGCTGTTGTTTCTGTCTCTAATTTAGCTACAAGTTTTAACGCTAATAGAGCAACTCCCACAGCAGTGCCTCAAAGTTAGTGCCTCACGCTTTGCAAGTCTCTGGGTTCGTTGTGAGCGGCTGGGATCTCTGAAAGAAGCGGGCTGTGACTGTGCTGCTCTTACCCAGACAGAGCTGTTTGTGTAACACCTGGGGCTCTGTTGGCGTGTACCTGTCAGCCTGCGATGTATCCCTGCTGCAGCCCCCGTTGTCTTCTGTGACAGCAGGGGCATGTGTGAACCCCAGAGGGTTTACCTAGAGCTCCGTGCTAGTGGCATACAAGCTACTGAGCCAGTTTTACACATGGACAGAGAATAATTTTGGCTAGCTGCCTATTGTCTGATGATTTAGTTAGTTTGCTGTGAAATAGACAGGCAGAATGTTGTTGTTTACTGTTCATCTTTAGTTAAAGTGCCAGAAATCCACAGATTGTTACTGGTACTTGTTGCTACTGTTTTTGGACGCTTTTTTTTTCTAAATCATCAAGGCCTGTGTTGAAATATAGGATACTGAAAAATATAACTGAAAAATAGTGTGTAGTAACTTAAACGAGGGTTTCTTTGGTGTTGATGCAGTCTGTGTGTAGCTCATACAGAATAAAGACTGTGTGCAAATCATTTTATAAAATGAGGTTAATAGCTGCTTCGCAGAATTGCTGGGGTGAATATGCTGCTTGTGAATTACTTACAATTTTTGGCAGAAAGGGTAATAATTGTAGCATTTTATTCTCCAATCTTTTATCCCTTTGTGTTATGACTTCTGAGCGTTTTGGACAGACAAACCAAAGTCCAGTCTCACCACCTTACAGTCAGAATTAAAATCCTACAAAAGGCATGTAAACAAAAATAACATTTTCAATTCTGTGGAGCTGCAGATTCCACTAGGCACAGGCTGTCAGTTGGAGAATAGTTGTCCTATCGGTGTCTTATGGACACAAGATTAGGTCTTGCTGTGTAACTTCTCTGTAGTTGTGCTGTCTGTGTTAATAGAGTTGGTACAGAACAAATTACTGCTTTGTCCAGAATATTGTCACGTAAATCTTGTTTCCTTGCAGCTGGAATGTTAAAGAAATTCACCAGGCTGCCGACTATCTCAAAGTAGAAGAAGTGGTGACTAAATGCAAAATAAAGATGGAAGACTTTGCTTTTATTGCTAATCCCTCTTCTACAGAGACGTCTAGTATCACTGGAAACATTGAAATGAATCAGCAGACTTGCCTTCTGACTCTCCGAGATTACAACAATCGGGAGAAAGCAGACGCTCCTCCTGCAGAGTTGGTTCAGCCACAAGCAAAGAAATCAGCTTTAGAAAAGAAATCCGCTCAGACCAAAAAGCGAAAGAAGAATTTCAGCTCCCCCAAAAGCGTACAGAGTAAATCAATACAGTACCAGAATGACGTGACCGAGAACTCATCGATCGAAATGTTTTTAGATGCAAATAAGCTGGCCACGCAGATAACAGAGCAGGCTGCCCAAGGCAGCGATAACTCCGAACTCCAGTTGGCAGCTGTGGTGGAAAGTGAAACGCTGGCAGCCCAAGATATTTTAGTTCAGACTATTGCAGCCAAACAAAAACGGGGGAAGGCTCAGCAGAACTGTGCGCTGAAGGAGCACTGCATGTCCAATATAGCCAACGAAAAGAACACTTACCAGCTGGAAAGTTCAGGAGAAGAACTTGACCAGAAGTACTCCAAAGCCAAACCGGTGTGCAACACGTGTGGGAAAGTCTTCTCGGAAGCCAGCAGCCTCCGCCGGCACATGAGGATACACAAAGGAGTGAAACCCTACGTGTGCCAGCTTTGTGGGAAGGCGTTCACGCAGTGCAACCAGCTGAAAACCCATGTAAGAACTCACACAGGTAAGCTGTTGGTTTGTCTCCATGGACTGGAGATCTGCGATAGCAGCATGGGACTAAAGAGATTTTTGTGTTCTGAGTTGTTCCTCTGGAGGTTTTGTCTGCTCTCGGTACTGTGGCGATAGCGTCTATATCCTGGTAGTATAAAGTGTTCTGACATTTTTTCAGTACAAAACCATAGTTTCAGTTTTAAATAGCTAGAAGGGGACTTTATTTGTCAGAGCACCTTGATCTTTGCAAAGATTCCAAAGGCTGGCACCCTTTCACTCTGCAGGGACTCCATTTAACTGGAGTGCAGTGCCAGAAACCACCGCCAGCAGAGCGTGAAAGGCTCATGGTACTCGATACCAGAATTTTTGTTGATTTTTATTTTTTTTAACATGAAATCCTAATATAGGTTTGATAACAATGGTGGAAAAAGACAGAAATACATTCTTGGTTCGCGTAGGTAGCTTCTCCTGTGGGGATCTTCAAAAAAAAGTTAGTGGAGGTGGGTAAATTACAGCATTTGGGATTTTAGTTAGTAAAATGTATGGCTGAACGGTGTG